TTTCTCTTTTTCCGCCAAATAGTCAAGTTCCTTGTTCGTATCGACGACTCACTTGATGTCTTTGCCGAGCACGGCATTGGCGGCATGGTTGGCCTCATTTTTAACGCCTTCTTCGCCACTGGCAAGGTCATCGGCCTCGATGGCGTCAACACTGGAGCCAGCGGCGGCTTCATCGACGGCAACTACAAGCTTCTCGGGTGGCAGATTGCCGCCATCGTCGCTGCCTCTGCTTACGCCTTTGTCATGTCCGCTATTATTGCCAAGATTATCGACGTCGTCCCTGGTCTGAAGCTTCGTGCCTCGGAGGAAGCTGAGCTCCTCGGTATGGATGACGACCAGCATGGCGAATTTTCATACGACTATGTTGAGGTTCGTCGGGACTTCTTGGCTTGGAGTCCTCCCAGTGGGGAGCCTGCTCATGATGGCGGAATGATTGAGCCTCAACACGGCATTCAGGAACATGCCAGTATGGTGCGTCCCATGAGTGTTTCTGATGGTCCTGTCGAGAAGAAGTCGTCGGCTTCATCTGTGCAGTTTGATAGAGACGACCACGCGGTATCGGACAATGAGAAGAGAGACTAAATTGTGTCTCGGTCTGGAGTTTGCATACGGGAAGGCGTTTTTCTTTTCTCCTCTTTCTTTTGGGTTTTAGGCTTTGTCAACATGTGAGTTTGATAGCAGGCATCGGAGTATGGTTTGATTTTTATTATCAGCTGTAGGATATCAGCATTATAGATGAGCACAGGCAAAAGCGGTCTGCATGTATGTACATGAACAGCACATACCATTGATCTATTAAGTATGCCTACGGATTGATTTAAGTTGAAAAGTGAAGACTCCAAATAGTGATAAGCTACAACCAATTCCGCCCATGGGCCGTGTCCTGCATATATTAAAAGAAGAAACGTTTGAAACTAATCAAGACAGTAGGGGAAAGTAGTGTGCATATACTGACTAGGCCACTTCTTCAGCCAGAGAAGTCCAAGCTGTATAGTACATTACGGCGGAACACCGTCAGTCGCCTCCCCATACTTTACGGCAGGGTAATCTCCGAAGCAAGCGTGATCAAAGTTGGCCCTGGCTGCCATGCCGTCTTGAATTTTAATGAAGGTATCTAACTCGCACCACCCATCCCTCCTGCTTGCATCACATTCGGGGAAGCTCTTGCCCAAGGGTAGCGTCCGCTGATTCAGGACAAAGTGGATATATTTTGTCTTCACACCTCGGAGATAGCCATCTCGATTGGGAGACAGCGGCTTGGGGGTTTGAATGATTTCCATATCGAGCCGTGCTCCAAACGGCGTCACATGTGAGATGGTGAAGTTGTGGTCTCCGGGATAGTCATTGGCAGGCAGCTCCTCGGCAAATTGCCTGAGTCCAAAGGCTGTCAAAATTGACACTATGTTTGTATCATGGGAAAAGTCAAAGTAAAGGCTCTGGTTCAAGGGAAATGTTTCGGTATTGTTGTCGAGCGTGACGTTGATCTGTGAGCCAGAGTATCCCAGAGTATGGTTTTTAAGTCGTGCCATGATTTCTTGCTGATAGCCGAGGCCAACAGCTCTCTACGCCTCCGTCAGCAAAAGCTCAAGTATTGACAATGTTGATGAATCAAAGCAGTACATACCCCCGTTGGGCTGTGGAATCCGCTTATAGAAGAAAAAAATAGATCAGTAGAGTATCCAAAGTCTCGCCACTCCTTATACGTAAAGAGGTCGCAAAATTTGCTGAAGCCATAAGCAACAGTTTCATATGGGCACATGGTCTGAGCAGCATAAACATCTTCAATAGTCCATGTAAACCCTTCTGTCATGGACTGGAATCGTGTCTGGGCTACATCGTGCGTCAGGCCGGTGTGTTTGCGAATAGCTTATCGATGAGAGAGCCTTACCATCTTTGAGGTACTCGTGTATCCATGTATTGACAGCTTCATTTCCTGGAGACTTGGTGTTGGCGTTTGGGCAGTTTAATGACCCGGCTAACGAATTGTTGAATCCCTTCTGTTCTATGATGACTTCAATGGTTGCATTTCTGGGCCTATGCGAGATTAGCATGAGAACTTGAGAACAAAATTGATCCAAAGCGCACCACTCCAGTCCAAAAAACCCAGCCATCCAATTCTCGGCAGACTTTAGCATTCTGTCTTGCGTCTACGATCATCAGCCCAAGGCAGCATGAATACTATGACATAGTCAAGCACCTACAGTTGTGCGAACAATAATCTTGCTGTTCGGGTTATACAGACTTCCGTACATGTAGCTGTGTAGAACACCTGTAGAGTGAGACCAGGTCAGCCTAACGACAAGGCTCCCGATACCCATGTCAACTTCTTACCTGATTGAAAGAGCTCCTCGCGACCCTTTGGCACAAGAATTTCTGCACCGAGTTGGTATTTCCAGTCCCTGAGAAACGAGAGCTGGCCTCTTGGACTGAATGTCTCCGAGGCATTGGCAATCTTCTGCCCAAGCTGGGCAACCGAGGATCCAGTCGTAGGATATCGTGATCCATGACGAGAGAGCATCTGAAGTTGAAGAATCTCTGCGCCAGCAGGAAGTGGAAACTCGTCTACGCCAAACCCTGGAGAAGGCGTGTAGGGGGATAAGTAGCCCATCATCTTGAAGATGCTGTCATTCCCCGAGCCCATCCCCTCGATAGGAATGGAGGTCTGCAATGGCTCATTTGGCACGTAGGTAGCGGTTGGGTCGAAAGTTCGTGTCTGTGCCATGAAAGCAGGTCGTCCTGTTGGCGTAGGGCCGGCCCATAGTTCGGGGGAAGTCTGAAAGTATTGAGGTACATCTTTTGTGCGGCAGGGACAAGAGCCGTTCCTTCCCTTGAAGGCGAACGGCAGCGCCATGAAGGCGTTGACCCCAACTAAGATAACTAGCAGCGCGGCAAGAACAAACGTTGCAACTCGGAAGCGATTCTCAGATCGTGAAGGCCGCGAGAGAAAATCTCCTTCTCGAAATGCCTCTCCAACATCCTGGCCTTGGCCAATATTGCCGCCGTCACTGGGGGAAGCATCACCATCGCCGACACCACCCTCCGATCCGTCATGGTCGTCATCTTGATACACTGGCCGGTACTCCCCTGATTCATTCCCTGGCTGTTTGGGCCGCGTTATGGACGCCATTATGACACTCCCACCGTTGGTTGTGCCGCCAGGTGCTGCACGATGTTGGTAGAGAAGGACGGCCCCCCCCCAGCTCGAACGTATGCGCGTGTCTGAGAGTTTAGGGGCAAGATACACAATCTAGACCTGTGAAGTAAGTGCCCACGTCCTCAAGGCTGAACACAAGCCACAGTTGTTTCGATTGAGCTGACTTGGCATGCTACAATGCGAGGCGCGAGACGGAGGCTTCCGTGGAGTAAGGGGTCCGATACAGTGTTCTTTACGAAGCTCGCTATCCAGCAAGATCCAGGTGGTCTCGGGTGGAGTTGGATCCTGGCAGACGGTTGGCTGTGGCGTCCCAAACTTACAGTAGCTCCGCATGCGTGCATCGATCTCCACGCCAACGGGTACTCTCCATATTCCAGGCAAAGTCGGGTAACTTGACCCCCGCCGCATGGCTCGCCTAGACATATTGAGCTGGCTCGAGCTCGCGCCCAGCATTCCGACCTCTTGGTACCAAAGCAGGCCTCGTACATATGGAACAGGACGCCGCAGGCACGGACTAGCTTTTGATATCATAATAGGGACTCCAGGATCTTTTATGCCTCTCAACTCTTTGAAGTACAAGGAATTGGTTAAAACTTGGCCACAGTCAGTTTTGTCTCACCGCCATTACTTGACATCCAGTAGTGCCTTTTGGCGTCGCTGCCAATGAATGGGTGGTTGCAAGGGATGCACGACAGCACAGCAAAAAAAGCAAGTCCTAAGCTGGCTGCCCGCGGCAAGACATACGGAGGATTCTCCCTGAAATACCCTAGTATATCTGTTCAGCTAGGAAAATTGGATACTACAAAGAGCTGCTTTTCGGTTAGTTGGGATGGGGTCTGTCGAAGCTTCGAGACTTTTGAAGAGTCACTGGTTCAAGAGTTCTTACCTACCATGGGGGGTCATGAATACGCTGAGCTCTTCAGAACGTGGCCAGGCAGCATATGGCGTGAGTCAACATATCGTGGACGCAAACCATAGTAGCCACAGGCGCATCAAAACAGTCCCGAATATGTGGTCAAACCTGGTCAGGGTAACACAACGTTTCAGAATTGGTGAACCATTTTCGGAACCTGCTTGCAACACAGAACCTGGTAGCACCAATTGGTACTCACTATTACGACCACTAATGCCACGGCCACTCAAGTCGATTTCTTGTGTTCCAGGACCTCTGCATACTCTGTCACATGATAGTCCTAGTCTATGCATTTAAGACAAGGAAATGCAACAGTAATGAGCGGGCTGCCAACATCACACTAACTTTGACGTGATGCAGCCGACTAATGCCCATCACACCTAGTACTCATTGGCCATTTGGCTGGCATTCTTGGTAAGACCTCCGAATACAATACGGAATACTCCGTATAGGGTTATCCTGCACGAAATTATGGTTTGTTTCCACACCGTGTCATAGCTCAAATATGTGAAGTAGGCTCGCGACAGCCAGCAATATAAAGGTTGGACAACACACATATTCTATTCATTTTGACATATACCTTGCTGATTCTATCTTAGTCACCTGTTGCCAGGCAGTTCTAATTCTACCGCACCGTACAATGAGTGATGGTAGCAATGAAAGACAAAAGAAAATACACACCTTCTTGGGTACACCAATACGCCTCAGTACAAACACACTCAACAAGACGCTTATGCAGCTTTTGCTCCAGTTTTATGCAAGCCCACAATCAAACAATTTCGAAACCTTGCTCCAAGGTCGCAGAAACGAATTCTCCTCACATCTGGGATTGCCATTCTGTTATGCGCAATACATCATGTGACTAAGTTGCTAGATGACTAAATCTGGGAAGATGCAGTTGGTCAAAACAGCGTCTTCGCAAACGTCATCATTTCAGTTTGCTTGCGATCGCAAGGGAAAGAAGCCGTCCGGCATCGACTCAAGATGCCACATGCGGTTTAGTTTTGGGTCAAAGGTCTCAACCCATTCGTCCTTTAGGTCGTTCGGGATACTCCATCCCATCTCAGAATCACGAAGCCTCATTCGTACTAGATGGCGCTTCTCTGTCGTGGAGCTGCCGTTGACAAAACCTTCGCGCCGGTGAAGAACAGCTAAATTGTTAATAAAGTGAATGTCTCCGGCCTGCGTAGTGATTTCGAGTTGCGTCGCTCGCGCAATTTTCTCAATAGCATCTAGAGCCTCGATTTGGATGCTGTTGAGCTTGGGAAGCCGGTCTGGTCGAACGTGGCTTGCACTGCCCAGCAAGGCGGCTCTACCAAAGTTGGAGATAATCCTACGGTCATGGTAGAATAGGACGGGGCGGCATTGAAACCGTGGCCTATCATCACTGAGTGTAAGTTTCCTGCTAATGGGATTTGTAGCCGCTTCAGGTACTTACAATGCAAATGGCCAGTCAGACCGTGCAAGGACGCGCACCAAGTCAGGGCGCGATGCTGCAAGTGCATTGTAAACGGTATATACGGAAGCAAGAATACACTTTCCGCCAGACGCCGCAGTACTTCTGGTAAGCCAGCTTATAATGTCTCCAGCTTCTTCGTTGTGAAAGGTCTACAGCCGAGATAAGTCAATAAGTCTTTCTGAAGAAGCAACTCAAATCTTATTACACTTACAATAGGTTCAGTCGAATGGCGATGGTGCGAGGCTTTCATTTTGGTTGAATTGTCCGCTATGATGTGAACTTGTGATAGAGTCTAAGCACTACTGCCAATGATCCCTCAATGCAGCGAAATTCACTTACCGAGCATGTTTCCCTTCTTGTCTTGTCTTCCTTGAAGGTTTGCTATGTAGCACTGGATACCCAGATAGACGGTGGTCAAATCTTCAACCGAATATCGCTGAGGATCCAAACCACGGACAAGGCCGAACCCTTTACCACAATAGATATCCCGTCGCAAGTCAAGGAGCTTTGGGCCAAGAGTGGGTAGGGCAAAGTGTTGAGTCGAAACCAAGTCTCCGTCCAAGCCAAGTTCTGCCAACTTCTCGTCAGTTATCACGATTCAATTTTCCATTTTCCTCGATTGGACGATAGGTTCTCTCGGCTTACTCTTGAACTCCTGGAGGGCATGATCGATCTCATTCAAGTGTGCCTCTTCAAGGCGGAACACATAGTCCGAATCGCTCTCGAACTGTCTTCCTGACCATGCTAAAGGCGAGTCAAGCATGGCAGGAAATCCATTTGGAAGTCCTGAAGCCTCGACCAAAGGAGCTGGGAACGCAACATCGTGGATGGGGGCGATTCGCGGTCCGACCACCGGTCCGTTTACTTCAGGCGCCATTGGTGCTTGATTCAGTCACACTAAAGGATAGTTAGCAGACTGTTCTTAGGTACGTGATATGACAACTTCATTATACCTGTCCGAAAATATAGCCCGTCGATTGAACTTTATCAAGTTCCGTCAATGAATGGCAAAATTGGAAGAAAAAAACAGAAGATGCTTCACTGTCAATAAAGATATCGAGTCTCGCAAAACCAAGGGGCCGAACGGACATATACACATATATATATGTTTGTGTGTGTGTGTGTGGGTGTACGTATCTATGTCTATATATTTGTATCTTCATGTGTACGGGGACAGTCCGAATCATACGGGTTTGTCTGCATAAAACATACATACCCCCTTTTCCCACGTTCAGTCACTTACTACTCACAAAAAAAAATAGTATTTGCTTGAGCTTACAGACCCAGTATTAGAGGGAATTCGACGGGTGCGCGCATATGTATCGCAAGCCGGCATGTACTCATATTGTGGCGGGCGGGTAAGTACCTACGGCCCGCTTCGAGCATCACGATGTCCTCAGCCTTGATTCACCGTCTTAAAATAACACACAACCAATCATATTCGGGACTCGATGGTATAGAGGGCGTTTATTGAAAAGGGAACCCGACTACGAGGCGGCAAAGAAAACGGCACAACGGACGGAGTGGTGAAGTCGGCGTCCGTGGTTGGTATAAGATCTCCCGCTTCATTCAGTAGAGAAGCACCCTCGTTCGAAGAGGGCTTGTGGCGTCTCAAGCGGCTGGAAATTGATCATATTGCGTTGAGGCCTTCCAGGGAATCCTTACTACTTAGCCACGGACAACTTACATGTGGATCTTGCTTTATGGAGATGTTTAGGAAAGACTGGGGGGGGTTTAAATACATCTAGTCAAGGGGAGGCAAGATGTTTGACCCGAGCCTAGGGGACGGAACGCGGCGTAATGCAATGCACGAGGATGGAGTATGGCGCTAGAGGTTGGATTACATGGTTGGAGTGCCGACGATTCAATGTTGCGAAAATGCTAGGTACCCGGCCACCAGACGAAGTATTTGGGCCACGGACAGGGACTGGCTGGATAGACCACGCAACATCCCAAGGCAGGCTGATCACACCTGGTCCCTGGTCCAACACCCCAGACTGTCAAGCGCCAAAAACAAGTTTCGGCTGACCTCGGAAGCCGCATAGCCCTCTCTTGAAAACGACGTTCACGGCCGGGGGCGCAAACAACGACAAGCCGCCGGCGGGCGCAGGTTTTTTTTTTTTTTTTTTTTTTTCTCCC